AAAGTCTTCCTTCAACTAAGATTTTTCTAGAAGTTTTCTTAGTTTCTAAGACCTTTCTAAGATTGTTTGTGCCCTGAGAGAAATGCAGTAATAAAGCACAAGACCTTGATGTGCATGTGAAACAGCTGAGCATGGAACTGTGTACATGATGGAGACAGGAAACCAACCCAAAACAATATTCCTAGTAAGCAACCTATGGGCTTACTTTGCTGAGAAATGTAAGTCATTATTTTATTTGATACTTAAAGAATTATAAACAATCCATCTGAAATGCTCTTGAGATGTCTCTGGTTATATTAGTCTGGACTATGTAGTGCATCTCTACTGCCTTCCCTGGAGGTAAGCTCCACCAATCAAAATTCTGTCCTATTAACCTAAATTCTGAACAAGGAAAAAGTTCTGAGCCACTAAGCCAGTGCAAACATATCTCAGCACATTAGGCTAACAGGGGTGACAAACTGCCAGTGACAGCAGGAATGTCCTCACACACTGCTGGGAGATAAAAACCAAAGCCTATATTTAGAGGTTTGTGGGTACTTGGCTCAGTTATTCCCAAGCAAGAAGATCCAACTCATGATATCAGATTTCAGTTTTAACCAAGTAAGAGTGTGTTTGGTTCAAAGATTAAACTAGAAGCATTTAGAAAGGAGAAGTTTTATGAGTGTTATTTGAATAGACACTTTGCAATTTGGTGCTCATGGCAATTTGCAGATTTAATCCTTTGTTTGCACAAATCTCTGGTGTCCTGCTGTAGGACCCTCTGACATCAGCACCCCCACCTTATTGTGCTAATAAATCATGATTGCTCAGTTGGAGAACATCCTCCACCAACATCCTCCAGTGAGGACAACACCTTTCCTGTGGAGACTGGGTGGAAAGACAACAATCCACATCACAAAATCCAGTCTGTGACAAAACTCCTGTGATTCCAGTGGCACAGCTTTCCTTGGACACATAGCCTCTGAGAACAGTTTTTATCAGACACAGTCCTTTTTCACAACTGGAATCAGGGTTGGTTTCTGCTTTGGCTATTTTCCCAAATCAAATTCAGAGACATTAAATTTGAAAGATGTTTGTTCTGGCTCATCATGGCAGGCCCTCTATATATTCTACCAGAGTCACCATGATAGTAAAACATCTACTTGCAGAAAACTTATTTTTTTCTTGACTGTAACTGTTTTTGTAAAATGTTTATGGCCTTTCAAAACCTCTCTCCTATCCTCCAAAGTGGGACCCATAACATAAGGCACACCCTGCACCACAGAAAATTTTACAGGCAAAGAGAAATTCTGCCACTTACAAATACACTGGAAGAGGTCTGTATCTCCAAAATCTGATGTTATTTATTCCTCAGGCAATAAACTCAGATAAAAAACTAAATCAACTAAATCCTCTTAAAAAAAACAACCCTTCCTGTACTTCAGCTCCTGCAGCAGGTGACAAGGCTCAAGTGTATAAAATGTCAGAGTTAAGATATGGAATATTAGCCAGAGGCAAAGACATTAAGAATTATTTACAGAAGTTATGTAGCCACACAATTCTAAATATTTTTCAGCCCTGAACTGGTCCTTGTTGCATCTAGCATCTCAAACTGAGGTGCAATTTCAAGATATAATGATATACTAATATAGAATTACTTTGTTCAGGAATTTTTTACTCCTTGTATTTGTTATACTACACAACCTATGAGTTTGAAAGCTGTATTTTGCTAACTTGAGCATGACTTCATAGACACAACTATTGGCTTATTTTAAATACAGTATAGCGTAGATGTGATTTTTAAGTCAAAGGTAGTAGTGTCATTTCTACATTTACCTTTGTTTGCACTGGAGAAAATACAAGTTTTGGAGAAATACCTTATAAAAAATAGAGTTTCTGATAAAACACAAATACTCCTGATAAATATTAAATCATTTGCTAAGGGAAAGCAAGTCACTTTGTAAGGAGAGAGAGCTACAAACACCACTATGCCTTTCTATGACTTCTGTTCTCTTGAGATTTCCTCAGTTACACTGATCCTCATGACTATGGTGCAATCAAACTCATCTGATGCAAAAGGGTCATGGTTGTGCACTAGCTGCAATCATGTTATGGGCTCCTTTGTTCCCTGCTGAAGGGTTGAGAAGATTTCACAGGGCTGCTTCCTGACATAATTGCTAAGAACTCACTTCCAGCGACACACAAGGTGCTTTCCTATCTTTCCATTCCTTGGCATTCACCTCAGTGACTCACAAGGAAGGATTAAAGTTGTACCCTGGAAGTTCACTGAATGCCAGAGTCTCCTTCTGTAAGCATAGCAACTTCTCCAATTTGCTTCCTGTAACTGACTCTTGTTCCAAACAACATCAGAATGTTCCCACTGGCTTGGACCAAAATAGCATTCCTGGTCCTAGGTTCAACCACTGACCAAGAGAGTTAGCAGGTACCTGGAGAAGAGAATGAGAGTGTGTAGTGTAACTTAACCAGCTTAAGAGTCTGTTGACTCACAGATTTTATTTCTGTGACTAAAAGGCTTTGGAAGATTTTTCTTCCATGGATTTGTCTGATTGCAGCATGGCATAACAGTAAGTTTCTGGTTTTAAAACATGCTGCTGAAAAGTGCCTTCCTTTCAACTGATTCTCGACCTGTTGTCTTCTGGTTTCATTGGATTTGTATTCGTTCTTAAATGGAAAGAGTATTTTTTCCATATTTATCATCTCTGTTCCATATATCATTTCAGACACCCCTCTTCCCCTTCAATCCTTTCCTTTCCTGGATGAAGAGTCACAATCAATCTACCCTTGTCTTGTAGTGAAAATGTTTCCAACCCTCAACCACCCTTGTCATAATTCTAAAATTTTCTCATTCAGAGCACAGTCAAGTTTTCTCTCCTAACACACAGAAAGATCTCCGTTTTTAACAAGTGGTGAATGAACTTCAGGTAACTTCAAAAAAACATGCATTAGTGTGGTTTTATTTAAAACACTTCACTTCAGATCCAAGAGGATTTTTTCCCTTCCTATGCTCACAGCAGAAACCCATAACCAAATTCTCAGGTGAAATTCACAGTCATCCTCCCCAGTAATGTCCTTGCTCTGCTCTCTGTCTTTTCCTCATTTCCTAAAGCACCATTCAAACAACTCTGGTGGAAGAATGGTTCTGGTGATTCATGGTAGAGTGGTAATTCCCACTCTTGTGAGGACCAAGGGAATTTTAGTTACTGCAGGAATCTTAATGCTGCAAAGCATGCAGCTGTATGGATGTTTACATGGAGGCAGCCTCTTTCCACTGAGAACTTCTGTTACTAAAATTTAAACCCATGATCTACAGAGATCTGAATCACAGCCAAAGTAACAAGAAAGACTTCTAGAGACTTTACTGACCTTTGCTTCTGACCTATAAGGAATCACAAAATGTTGAAACAGCTGATGTCACCACATCCCTGAATCACACCTTTCATCTTAGAATCACAGAACCATTGAGGCTGGAAAAGGTCTTTAAGATCATCAGCTGAACAATCTTGAAACAATAAACCCCACCAAAACCAAGACTGACAAGAAAATAACACTGAAAAATATATCTTAACAAGCAGGAGACTGCTACACCTGTGAAATGCCAGTATCAGCACTAACTCTGCTACCACAAATTATAAAGTACATTTGCAAGTCTCCAAATGCCCAGTCAAATCCCACACTTACAGAGACAGTGACTGTTCAGTTTAAGTGAATCTTTGAACATGTTTACAATAAATTTTGCAAGCTTTAAACTTTTATGATGGCAGCACTTACAACACTGATTTACAGTCTGACTCAAATGAAGGATGCTCATGGTTGACTCCAATAACATCCTTTTGCAGGGTTTCTCAGAGACAGGTGAAGATTACATAAGGCAAAATAATGGATGGAGAAATGGTGCATGACCACCTATTCATCTCCTCACTTGTGCAAGTGCAACCTAAAGATTTTCCTTAGCTTCAGCCTCTTACTTTTACTTACAAAATCTTTTCCTGACAAATTCTAATCAAAACGGATGAAGATGATGATAAGGAAAGACAGTTTATTTGACAGTTACTATCCAATAACTTAGTATCCCACAGTACTTTCTAAGCTATTCAGAATGGAAACAATTTTGGAACGAAAGACTTGTCCAAAGTTTGCCAAAGACTAGACCCAAGTTCCCAGCACCAATCTGTCTGCACTAGTGGAAGGACAATAGACAATTTGAAAATTCCAGAGATCATTAGGGAACTGTTTTTAATATCTACATATGAATATCTCTCTAAAAATTCCTTAAGCCACCCTGGCCCCTCATTATTTTATCTTTTTACTATTTTGTACTAGGAGATGGCAGGCACACAATCTGGGAAGTGTACAAGAATATTGAGCCCACCTCTGCTGAGCTTTACCACAGCATAATATACCTAATAAAAAACACCAGAATGGATGCTGGTTGTCTGCATCTTCCTCTGACTGCGTATTTTAAAAAGTTTAGTTTTTTCCCCTAAATGTGAATTACAAAGGTAATCTACTTTGCAAATTATTTTAATGCTACAGAAAGGACAAGCAAAGCAACAGAGATGAGCTCTGTACTTTACATTCAGCCCTTTCCCACCTGCTGCCTGCCCTGCAACAGGAGACAGACTGACCATGATCTGTGAAATCAGATATAGCAGAGGCAATGTGACACAAACCAACACAAAACACAGACTGGAGACTGGCAGTGCAGGAAGGCTGATGTGCAATCACATGCCTGAAGAATTCAGCCCAAAAATTCTGAGCTCTATTCAACACCTTCCACACAAGGTCCTTCCTTGCAATCACTCCCATCATAACCAGCCATCATTCAACAAGAAACAACCTTTCCTCATACTTTGGCTCCTCCTCTCCCTACAAATAACTCCTCTCAGCCCAGCAAAGCTCTCTGTGTCAGAAGAGAGGTTGCTTACCCTTGAACAGGCACCTTGTTCCAAACACAGACAATCTTTACTTAAAGTCTACAAATCCTGCAGTTCTCCACTTACCTATCCAGAGTGTCCTGAGGCACTTTACTCCCTCCAGCTCTGTTGTTGACACTGCTGTTCTTGTTAGCAGTCATGGTCATTTCTGCTCTCTAGAAATGTGGATATCTGTGAGAAGAAAAGTCAATTAAGCTACAGCAAGCCCAAATGACAATTAACTCCTTGAACTACAATGCTGTGTAAAGGCAGAACTCCAGGTTGCTTTTCATTCTATAAAATACAATCAGTGTAGGTATGATCCTGAAAAACTAAATCCTACCTCTCTACTACTGCTATTGCACATCCACTGCCAAGTTTATGAGCCCAGTGCTATAAATGGAAATAACTTATGAAAAGTAGGTGTGTGCTTCAGGTGCTGGCCTGTCTGATGAACAGATCTTGACACCAAGTTCACAAAATACCAATATCACAGGTTTGGTGTGGTTCTTGCAAACTCCATAGCTGGGACTGGAGGTTTGACCACACCACAGCTATCCCCAAGGAATAAAGAAGGCTTTCTCACTTTAAAGTGCAGCTCTATTATGGAAATATTTTCTAGTAGTGACATTTATTCAGTGATGGACTTCTGAATATAATTTTCAAATCTGCTTGTGATATAAAAAATACCACAAGTTTTCTCTATTGGCCTCAGGATTCTTTAAGTAAAGCTGTATTAGGACACTTTTAAAACCTCAGGTAATATAAAGAATCTTTATCAATTCCTAGTTGGCTTTTTAGCAATTTGGTAATCCCAAAAGCAGTGAACTTAATTTCAGCTCTGTGTATCAAGTTGGGTGCCCAAAAGATGGGTCTCACTTCTGTGACATTGCTGCACACTGGCAAAGAAACAGCCCAGTAGCATGATTTATTTTGCCTTCATTCTGCTGTCTTAATAGCAATGTTGTGCTGTGACTGAAGGGAGAACATGATGATACGGATAAAGGCCAGGATGTCATCCAAGGAATGCAAAAGCAGGAATCCCTAATATCATGCCCCTACATTGACTATATCCCATGTTTCTCTGGTGTAAAGCACTGCTCTTAGTGGCCATTTCTTCCATCATTATTATCCCTTGAGAAATACTTTGCAAAATGAGGGAGGAATGTATTTTCACATCATGATAAGACTCCTAAAATGCCAGCAGAGTCCCTTGAGAAAGAAAATGAACAGTATTTACTCCACCTGATGCCACAGGAGTTACTTATGAAGGATTCTGTGGCTCTGCTGGCACCGGTGTGGGTGGTTTCTGAGATGCTGCTTAGTTTATAAACTAAAATATCTACCACAGTTTACAGCACTGCCACCCAGAGTCTGACCAGAACTACCTATTTTTACAACCATTAACAGCATAGCTAATGCAAAAATAAGGAGTGTTATGAAACCTGTTGTTTACTCAAGCCCACAGGAAGTCCAGACTGCTTGAGAAGCCACTGTAAAGTGATGCTGCAGAGCACGCTGGGGACTGACAACATACAAAAATCCCTATACTAACAGACCTATCACAGTTAAAGGATATTCTCTAAACCACTTTATTCCAAACAGTTCTGCTACAAACACAGTCAGAAAATCTGCAGATTTCAGCTCCAGAGGCAGAGTCAATCATGCTGACCACTGACTCCAGGTCTATTTGTCCTTCTCCGCTGTTTTGTATCAATCTTCCCAGATTAAGTAGAGACTTATTTTTTTTTTCCTCTGGTTGGTAACATTTTTTCTACACCAAAGCTCCCTAAATTCCTCCAGTGTCTCATTGTTATTGTTACTGTTACATTATCAAGATTACAGGACTGTTACAGAACTGCCCGTTCCGACTGGAAAAGGGATTGCTTGGGACAAAAAAAGGAAGCCTGCTAATGCTGGCCAAGCTTTCTAGGACTGTACATTCCACAGGGAGTAAGCAGTTTTTTTAATGTTTTCCACTCACCAGTCCAACACTTTTACTGTGTTGAATCTTAATCACTTATTAGCACTTAATGTGAGAGAAATAAGAGAGATAAACATGGCAAAAGGAGAACAATAACTGTTAACATGCATGTGTAACATTAGTTTCCCAAGATTTTCTTTTCTGTTCAAGGCAAAAATAAGCTGAAGAGATCCTCAAAAAGATGGATACTGACCTGACACATTAAAAAAAAAAAAATACAGTGTGTTTTTATGCTGCTGGTTTTTTAGTGTCCATTTTTGCATACCCCAAATCGGATGAGAATAAAAAAAGTATGACAAAGCTTGATAAAAATCACTGTGGTTAAGGTTTAAACTAAGTGATTATTTAAATCTTACATTTCAAAGCCACCTTAAATGTCAAGTAGAACAAAGTGGTTTGTTTTCAGCTAAAGATAAATTGAGTTCCTAAAGACAATTTCTCAAGATATGTCTGATTTAGTGATGTAAGTGTGTTCTTTCCCGTGCAGTGGAGACTATGGTGTATATATGCTCATATCAACAGAGCTTTCTATTCAATTTTCCTTTAATGCTTATTTTGGATGAATATTTTACTGCAGGTGATGCTGGTATCATCCCACCATATGCAGAGAAAATGCAAACAACATGAACATGGCAGAAAAGCATTCAGTATTTACAGAGATGCCTGTAACAAAAGACTTACATCACCGAAAAAAAAATAACCCAACCATCTACCTATCCTGACCACCCCAAAAATAAAGGGAAAAAAAATAAAACAGGGACAAAGAAATAAGGAAAAAAAAACCCTAAACTAAATGTTATTGTTAAGTAGAAAGTTATTTTAGAGCCTTCAAATGAGTCTGACAGCCTCCAAGATTATTGAATCTTTGTAGGGTCAGAATCACATCCCTTGGGCTTGGGTGAGAGCATTCCTCACTACAGTATTTGCAAGATATTCTTCACAAAGCAATGGAAACCAAAATCTCTCAAGTATTGTGACATACTGTTGGAAACAAACCCAAACATTGTCATGTCCCACAGATTCTGCATTGCCTCATAAATCGTCAAACAAACCTGGTCTAAAAATGCAGAATTCTGTTCTATTTGTAAATGTAAAGAATTCCTCTGAAACCCTTATTTAGCCATAATTTGTGCTTTGCTCCAGACATGGTTTCACTAATTTGCTTAAGGATAACTCTCAAACTGGGAATTTAATGAACCCAAATGGTAGAATCATTACATCAACTTTGCCTAAAACCTCCACAAACCATTTATCAGGATGAAAAAGTAAAGATGATAGACAAATATAAAAAATGTTGTGATGGCAACAGGGGGTCTGCTGCTCGTGCCAGGCGAGGTTCAGCATCCTGACTGAAAAGGGCTGCTGCAATGCAGATGTTTCCTAACAGATCTTTATCATTACAGGAAGATCCAATGACAGAATATTCCTTATTAACCATCTGTTAATGACCCATACACTTTTACTCTTTTAAAATTAAAGTGTGGCCTGAGGCTTTTTTATGGATAGATGAGGCACTGAAACCCATCACACTTTGGGCTAATGAACATTACAGTGCCACTGAATGTCTAATTCCATTAACAAGTATTAGTGGGGGAGGGGTAAATCCTCTCCTCCTCACTGCAGTTTTAAATTATTCTTAATTTCCTAAAGCATCCCAACACTTTGGAAGCCCCCTCTCTCAGTCTCACTGCCAATAAAGGGAAAGGTTGTTTTCACTGAAAGCTGCGAATGGGAGTGGGTTGAGAAGTGAGGTTTGGAGCAAGCACCTGTAAAGTCAAGGCAACACAGAATGCTTTAATTGCTTTACAGCTTCAAGAAAACCTCCTGCTTTCTAATACACAGTGCCCATCAGCTAGCACATTCCAAGAACTGATTCCTTTCTCTCCTCCTATAGTGGTGAAGGTGAATGCTATTGAACCTAGAAGAAGAATTCACATGTGGTGTCTGATGACTTGAGAAGGGAGCCTTTGAATGTAGGTTCCCAAGCCCTCTCCTGGCATTATCGCTAACATGGCTTGAAATCTATAATAATAGAGACCTTGAATAATTGAGACCTTGAGTTCTGAAGTTTTTTTCATGCAGATTGTTTTCCCCTTCAAATTCCACTGATCTGGGATCTGGAAAATATGGGAAAATATTACTCCTTTGGTCTGCCCCACAGAGCAGAGACCTGGAGACATAACAGGAAGTCGTAACAGGGAAGAACTACAGGCTGCTAAAACAAATCCATGTTCATGAAAAATTACAATGAATACAAATTTTCATATATTTATAATAATTGATATGTCTAGTTTTTTTTTCTCTTAACAGTAGCTGCAACTGGCTTTAGCCATTAAGAAGTTAGCTTAACATGTTAATTTGCTTTTCTTACTGCTTTAAGGGAGCTTGCCCACTTGTCAAGAGGTGTAGTACAGCTCAACTCTTCTTTAGGGGTTGCAGCCTGCTTTGTGGCAATTTGCCTACTCCCTTCCAGTAAAACAAATAAATATGTCCTTCCAGAACAACGTCAGTTCTAATGATCTGGAAAGTCCAATAAAATGTTTAAAGATTCCTGCCTTGAGAAGGCACCTGTAGAGACTGCTGAGAACATTCTTAGAAGAACTACATCAGGAATACCTGTTCTACAGACTAACCCCACAGTCTCATCCAAAATTTCCCTTCCTACAATCCACAGCCTGTTTCCAGCCAAGTCAGTGACCAGTCTCTCTGCTAAGCTTTCACAGCTAGGTGGCAACTTTACTTCTAGCACAAACTTCCTCCTATAACCAGAGGAGTGGTGAACTTGGTTGCCATTGACCCTTGCAATGCCAAAACCACCCTCTCAGCAGTTCAGTCCCCACTGAACCGATCTGGTACCATTGGGAAACTGATGTTACAGCACCTACTGGAGGGGAAAGAAGTTACCTCCCCCAGGCAGATGAAAAGCAGACACTCTGCCTAAAGCAAAGACAGCTCTCCACTCACCCTTCACTCTCCTTTCCTGTTTATCTGCCACCTAAAATGCTTTTCCCTTTCCTGATGTTCTTGTTCTTTCCTATTTTGTGCCTTTATTCTGTCTTGCTCTCCCTACTTCATCTTCTTATTACTTCATTTCTCTTCTCTCAAACTGTTCTTTTTTGCCCCTCCCCTTAACTGAAAATGGGCTATACCTGGTGGAGAGAACAGACCTCACTTGATATACACTGCAGTCCAAACCTAATGCCTGAAC